AGGCTATATCCTATCAAACATATGTATAGCATAGTGACAAAATTGTTTGGCGAAAAATGTTTTTGAAAAGTGCACCCCACAGGTCGGAGTGAATAAACGTGTTGGTCTGAAATGGTCTTTGCGAAGTTTCGCCGAAAAAAAAGATTGTTTTTATTCATTTTGAACAATCCACGTGAATATTCATCGGAAAAAAATTGAGCGGCTGCGCTACCTACAATATTTCTCAAGCGCCTTCGGCAGGAAAAAATACAATTTGACGTGACGATCTTTCTGATCAAATTTCATGAAGTGAGGTTGCCTCAGACAGATAAAAGTTGACCTGGCTGGCCACTTTTCAAACTGTTTTTTTGCATCGGAATTTCGCTTGGGTAGTTTTCACTTCATATGACATATTCTCCCCTGTTCAAACCTCTGCAACTGCGATATTCGAAAAAATCTGTTACCTAATGTATGTCACCGATGATTCCTTGCTCATCTCCAATCTTTTGATGGTGCGATAGATTGTTGCCATTCCTCACTCCACAAACAAGCACTTTGAAAATATGCATCGAAAAAATGATGATCTACGAACCTCCTCAATTCCTCTCTAAAATGCTCAAATTCCCTTTCAGAAGAAGAGCGAAGGAGGTCAGAGGGAGGCATTCCTTTTTTGAAAACAACTCGCCCTAATGTATTCCATATGTTAAGACAAGTTGTTTACGACGATCATTTTCACGACCACTATTTGAAGATTATTCCTCCAATGATAACCTCAAATCAGCTCCCTCTCCTCCCCGTCCCTACCCCAACCCGTGCGCTGCAAAAGCCGCTGTTATAGCAGTGTTTGAAAGTGCACTCTCAAATACCCTACAGTTCCCAAGTGCTATTATCAAAAGTTTCGAAGGTATCGCCACTGAGCGGTTTACTCGCCGGAGTGTTAGTTAATGCTGGTCTGGTATCGTAGAATGACGGTGACTGCAACAATATCACGAAAGTTCCAACCACATTCACCGTACTGAACAGAATCAGCATCAGCCTATCGATCACCATTGAAACGTACGACCAATCTTCTGATATCTTCAAATAACCTCTGCATATTCATTCCATCCACAAAATGAGCAATAAACTGCAGCACTGACTGCCGATTTTAACGCTTTAGGTAAGGTCGTTAGGTAAGGTGAAAATAACTGCTATAATATATGCAGCCGCTGGAATACATCCGAATGCAATTTCGCCCTTCCCATTCTTAGCCTAAATGCAGGATTGAGCCTGACAATAACCATAATCCTTAGCTTGTCTGTGCGCTTGAAAGGAAGCCCAAGCCTGATCCAAGTGGATAAGACTGGATTGCATCCGGGTGATTTTGATAGATTCTACTTCTGAAGGTGATCTCTATAGATCGTCGCCGATATTCAAGGGATAAATTATGACACGGGAGGGGAGGAGGGTGTTGAGTTGCATCCATCTTTATCACAATGGGTGTCTATGGAGGGCTATGCAAAATTCAACTTACATTGATACACTGCCGAATTGATACACTGTTGTGCTAATTTTGGGTGAGAAACAGGAGGATGAAACGGATGCTGATTGATGACAATGTGACATGAACAAAATTCAGTCTTTTAAGTTCATTAAAATCATAATGAATAAATGAAAAGCAACCTTATCCTCCTTCTTAAGACCTCTGAAATGATCCGAAATGAATGCGATGTTGTCCAACATTCTACGTATCAAATCCGGATGCATCCCTCTCAATTGTGCCAATTGCGACAATCGCATCTGACCATCGATCAGTTGTGCCACTGATAAAAAGTATGGACTTGGACGACGAGCCGTTATATTTGTTATGCCGTCTGCAAGTTGATCATAAATAAATAATATTCGATTAATGAGTAGATATATATGCAATACCTGACACTGAACTGCTGTCTTCGGAAACACTATCCTCATCAGGCGGTTGTATGAAGATATATTTCGGTAAAGTCTGAAGGAACACTCGACGCATCCAATTAGGCATCGGTTGGGCACTTCCTTCTCTATAAACTAGTCTGTTATGGTTATTTCTAAATGTGATTATTATCATCAGTATTGTTAACACTAATTGCATTGTTATTAGTAGTGTTATTGTTATCATCGTTATAATGCATAAATAGATGAAAATCGGAGCGAACGAACCTTCGATAATAATTAAGCGAGAGAACAGAAAGCAAAATGGATGCAGAAACAAGGAACATCGTGAAGAGAAGATATTTTCCGATGAGTGGGATGACAAGTGATGTGGGTGGTATTAACTCGATAAGTACCAGATAAAAAACGGTTAATGTGACGAGTATCGATATCGAGAATGTCACTTTGTGCTCTTTGCCAGGAATGTAGAACACGAATGTTGTTAGAATCGCTGAATTGTTCTTTCGTTATGACATTTTATGATATCGTTTCAACTGCACTCTACGCCATACAGTTTTGGAATGCCACTTATATGAACGCATTCTTCCTTGATTGATATCTTTTCTTCACGTAGCCAAACACATTTTTGCACGAAATCATGCATTCCATCTCGAGTAATGATTTAGTGAACGATGGCGAAAGAGATACGCTCAGTGGTTTGTTAGGAGAAGCGCCCAAAAATAAACTATCATTGCAATTTGCTTCACTTAAAGAATTATCGAACACACAAACGAACTCATAATAGTGATGATAACTCACCAATGAGCATACAAGGAATAACCAAATTGACCGTATAAAATAATGTTTTCCGTCTCAAAAGAATATCAAAAGAGATATCAATGTAAAACTCTTGACCGCAACAACCCGGATATAGCTGCTCGTGTCGCATTGATGTCAACGAAATTAAATCCCACTCCAGACTCCTTCAAGATCCTTTATCATTTCGTATCGTTTACGTTTATCTATTAAGTTATCATCTAGTTTGTGAACTCATCAAACGGGCAACGTTGCGTGTCAACCCTAAGCTCAAACCTACTCTAGGTTTGAGCCTTAATTCATCTTCAAGCTGGAGCCTGTAGCAATTTAAATGTCTCAACTTGAGAGGCGAATTAATATTATTACAGTATGCCCCCTCATGTCCGAACGGTCAAATAAGTATTGTATGACTATTGTAAAGAACAAAAATATACGCGGATGAATAAAAAATCCGCAGCAATAATTTGGTAGCGAATTATCATTGTCACCGTTATCATCATCACGAAGCAATGGTCCATTGCAATTTGTAAATTATCGCCTGTAGGGTGTAATTTGTACTCTTATGAAATGAATTAGCATTTTCAGATCCCATTGCTCCACTGCGAGAGAGAACTAGTACTGGTATCCGACCGACGATCGATCGCAAAAATCTGGCAATTTCGGTTGGAATTCCGACATTCGGATTCTGGCCGAACCATTTTGAAGGTCGATCGGAATTTCGACTATCGGAATGA